CCTTTTTTTTCTAGCTCTCATTACGTTTGTTCTACTCTTTAGTTGTTTCCTCCTTCCTTATGTTCTGTCCTCTCCTCTTCCAGTTCATCACATAATTTCTTAATGTGTTATACTGTGCCAGTATATGGGTTGCACTCTGTTTTGCATCGGCAGTTTGACTCCATGGGGGTGATTTACTAACCTAAACACACGCACGCACTAGGTGCGTGTGATTTTTACACAGCAAAACGTATTTATCAACCAAAAAGTCTCTAAAAGCATATTTCCACTAATGCCATATATGGAAAAATCATGCACATGATGCATATATAATGCTGCTTCACAGTTTAGACAAAAATGGTTAGCTCATGCATTTACATTCCTGCATTCATCAACGCAATCAACACAATGTAGAGCTAATTTACACAACATCACCTTGCAATTCATGCAGGGCTTTGCACAACACACCTGCTGGGTGTGTACACACTACAAAGGTGTCTGGATTCCACCAATAGATCATGCTGGGAGGGAACACACTAAAGAGGTGTATACTTGTTTGTGGCGTGTTTATAAGGTTAGTAAATCAACCCCCATGGCTCTGTTTAGATGTAACATAAAGGTCCGCATCCACCCACACGGACAACTCTAGACATGTGCAAATGCTGAAATTAGTTTCGGACTAAATAAACGAAAACAAAAAAAGTTTTTATTTGTTTCATCCATCTAAACAAATTGTTATGCCATTTCGTATTCATTGGGAACGAGCCTCCGAAACCTCAAATGTAAAGAAAAAAACGTTTGGCAGCCATATCGGCCACTGGCCCTCATCCTGGAGGCAGGGCACATGATGTCACATGCACGCGCGGCGTCGGGTGACGTCACATGCCTGTTGGGTGCCACCATCTTGGTGTATATCTGGGTATACACCAAAATGGCAGCACCCATACCAGCGTGTGGCATCATGCGCCTCGTCTCCAAGATACCGGCACGCATGCACAGAGCACCCCAGTGGCCAATATGGTCGCCACGTGTTCTCAAATAAATTATTATGTACCAGAATAAGTTTTTCTTATATTCAGTCATATAATTAGTTGATTTGGACAAACCGCCAAATCAACAGAATTTTGTTGATTTGCAGGTTCGTCCGAATCCGAATGCACTAGTCTAGACATCTCCGCTTGGACTGTCACCTGATCTTACTCCTGTGCATCCATAATATTTTGATGCTGGGTTTTTTTGTCTGTTTTTATGCTTTGACATTTTCTCTTTTATGTAAATGGTATGTTGTTAAAATCCTTAAATAAAGAATTAAAATAAATAAATAAAAAGGAATACTTTTTTTTTTTACTTGTAAGATTTCTTTAACTGATGTCATATGCAGTATATTGGACAAACAAGAAACCTCCCCTTTCTGTAGGGCTACTCCCACTCTGCAAGGGTTAACTGCTTGTTTATGCCTAGGGGACCAGAGTAAAGCAGTAAATCTGATTCCTGCTCCCGCTAGCTCTAAGACCAACACTTGCAGTCTCTTTCCCCCTCCACTCCGTCAGTTGGAGGCCAGCTAATGTGATCACATATAATGGACAGTTCATGGGCCGGAGCAGAGGGGGAGGGGGGTGAATGCTGACCAGTGGGGATCAGGTAAGTAAAATTGCTTTATTTCGGTCCCCTAGACATAAACAAGCAGTTAATCCTTGCGGTGTGGAGGAGGGTTTTTGTTTCCCCAGAGATATTTATTTATTATTGGTATTTATATAGCGTGGTTCACATTGCCGGTTCCTGTCCTGTAGATACAAGTGCTCAGATTCAGCAATGGTCACCAGAATAAACAGAGAGAGATTACCTCCCTAGAAAGGACACACACACAGTTCCGACTCTTTAAACCTCTATCCCAGACAAAACAAATATGATTTGGCTTTAGATACACTGACGGTGACAGGAGTGTATGAGTCATAAACATGGCTGGAGAGGATTTCAAATCCTTTGGCAGATACAGCTGTTTACATATTCGTATTTCATCTGTATGTGTAATTGTTTATCTGGAGTTCATCTTTAATAGAGTTGTGCGTAGATGTCCTCTCCTCTACCTATACTTTCCTGCCTATACCTGCAATCTTGTTACATAGATAGGTCCGCCCCTCTAACGTTTCGGCTCAAGGTGTTTCAAAGTGTCGGCTCAAGGTGTTTCAAACTCAAAGGTGTCCATTTATTAAGCATCACATCTCAGATTTACCAAAAATTCACTGATGTACTAAAAATAATCTCCTGATTAGAGGTGCACCGAAATGAAAATTTCAGAAACAAAACCGAAATAAAATAAAAAATGTCAGACCCAAACCAAATTTTTTTTTAATTTTAACTTTTTCACATTTTTTAAATATTTTATTTTCAATAAACTGTGTATTTATTTATTAATTTTTTTATTAAATATTTTTATTTACTTTACTTTTAGGGACTTTGGGGAAATATTGGGGGTATTAACAGACCCCTGATATTTCCCTTTTAAAATAAAAAAAGAAAGAGGACTGTTTCCTCAATCTCTTTTTCTGCATCCCCTGTTATTAATTAACTGGAATCCTCTATACTGAGTGTTCCTGTTCATTGATAACATGATTTATACATCACCACCATTTGCTGACACCTTTCCCATTCCACAATGGATCTGGTAAAATTCTAATTTTCATACTAAATGCTGTATATACATCATTTCCCCCCTTTTTTTCACTTTGTTAAATCTCGGTACTGATGTCCTCCTGTAGCCTCTTTGCAGGCACTTCCTTGTGTGCACACACGTACTCCAGAGATGGCTACACTTTAAGGATAGTATGCAACGAATTGCTTTTATGAGACATTATGCTAGTGCTTACAGAAAGTGCCTACCAGACAAGAGAATGTATTTGTATGATCTAATCGGATTTGGGAATATTCATGTTTGTAGACCTCTTCATAACCCCAGCATACACTACCTTGCTGAGCCTGCTTGGAGGACAGTGGACTAATCCCTTTTGTTTCCCCTTAGACAACCAGCACCTGCAGCACTACCCTCTCCCTCCTCCAAATGACCAATGCAAACCTAAAGTGTACCCACACCTTTAGTGCAGTTACATGTACTTGTCTACGCCCCCTCCCAGCCTAATATTCACTTGATCCCCGATCCACTGTGATCTCAGCTGTGCGGCCACCTGGGTGATGCTAAACCTCCTGACAGACATTTCTCCATTGGGCACTGCAATGCTGCTCCTCCATAGACACAGTACAGTGAGTGAGCATTTACAACCTAGGACAGGAAGTGTGTTAGTAGCAGGATTACCAGGCCAAAATAAAAGGAAAAAAACAAATGTGTCCACCACACCCAGTGCTGTCAGAATACAACAGACCGACAGAAGGGATTCCACCATGCAAGCTGACCACACAACTATATTTTTATCTCTTCCAGCCTTGTGAGCTGAATGAGAAAATACTCAATTCCCTCCATCCACGCTAACAGTGTGGAAGTGGGAATCCCTCCAGTGGGTCTATTGTATTCTGACAGCAGTGGGTGTGCCACTGTCAATATACCCGGACAGTGACTTCAGTCAAGTCAGGACTCGGATGAAATTTGGCCAGCTTAAGGACTAGTAAATTGCACTATGTTAAATTTTCGTTCTTGAGTTTAGATACAATTAAACTATTGTGTGGCAAACTACTGTGCTCAGAGTCCTTGAGGCAATGTGTTTTAAAGGATATTACACTTTTAGTAGATATAAGGTCTTTTACTGTGTACTTACAATAGATATCTATACTGAGTGTGTATGCACTTAGGTATATGCTGTATGTATCAGCAGGTTAATAAACACAGTTGACAGTGACCATGATAAAGGCTTCAGATAAAAATATTTTATTCTGTATGATAAGTTTAGAAAACAGCACACACATCCAGGGTCTGTGCCCCGATTTCTTTTTCCCTTACTGTAAATCCATCTCCTTGTCCAGCAGTCTCTATAAGCTGGGGCTCCTTGTCACACATGGGACAAAGTTTGTTACGTACTGATGACGCTCGCTTCCATATAATAAGATTCCACCGTTCACCTGAAGTAATGGGGAGGGCCCCATGAATCTGTTGTCCCCTGTGCAAAATACCCTGACCCATAAGGTGCTCAACTTCTGTATACCTTCTCTCATTGGCTGGAACCTGAATGGAAGACAAAGGATTTTTACTATAGTAAATTTACTAAGTTAGCATTTAGAGTTGGTAACCAAAAAACAATTAAAGTGGCCCTACACTCAGGAGTTAAATTTAAAAAATGCATTCAAGCACCTTAACGTATCTTATTTGTGTCACTCAGCTGATTCAGTATCAAATCATCTCTGAATTCATACTGACACTGTCCTTCCTTCTGGAGGGTGGCTACTTTTGTTCCCCATGGTCCCTGTGTGTGTTGTAATGTAGCCACCGCTCCAAGCTCACTCCCTATAATCTCACATTTAGTTTACTAATGTGTATTGAGATTGTAGTCCATGACAGGAGTGAGCTTGGAGCGGTGACTACTGTACAACACACACAGGGACCATGGGGAACAAAAGTAGCCACCCTCCAGAAGGAAGGACAGTGTCAGCACCAATTTTTGTTAATAGTTAAGGTACTTGAATGCATTTTTAAGATTTAACTCCTGCATTTAGTGTCACTTTAAGAAATAACTAATAACCGCTAATGCCTGACAGGGCAGAGCTGTGCCTCAGTCAAGGAGGATTCCGACAATATTGCCAAGATCCACCCCGGCTGCCTATTTTACAACTGGCTCAGCCTCTTTGTGCATGGCTGAGAGCCAGAAGCAGCTTTGCCTGCCCCCTCTCCAGCCTGTAGCTCCAGCCAGCACTGGAGAAGCAGACAGGGGAGTGGCGGAGGCCATGCAGAAGCAGAGACTGAGAGCTGACTGATCGGCGCTCAGATGATCAGTCATCTCTTGGTCTCAGAGTGGCCGTGGGTCAGCTGCAGTGGCACAAGGATGCTAACGCATGGGGTGAATATAACTGTGTGATATATTATTCACCCTGAACTTCTGCTTTAAGTAAAGCATTACATGTGTTAAACACAACAAGGTGATGTGTAGGAAACATGCCATGAAGGAAGGTAGGCGGAACATATGGCAAATGTTGTCCACCACACTTTAGGCAAGCAATGGAAAGGGTTTTATAAATTACCTTGAATCTGCTTATCTTCTAAAATTAGGTAGTAGTAGTACAGTAAAGATGTGACATAATTGGCTTCTGCAATTTAATGGAGAACACAATACTAGTTCCCAGAGTGTAACACAACAGAGATAGTAAATGACAGAACTAGGAAGCATGACAAGTACGTTGTGTCTCTGCAGTCACACTGGAGACACAGTCAGGGTCAGCTTTATTAGTGATATAAGCTTTCTGAACGGTCTTGTTTAAAATATGAGCTGAAAAAGCAAAGTTGGAATATCACCTCTCTCATTTCAGAAAAATAAAGGTTTCCATCAGTGAACTCTTTCCCCAGGGAAACATTCAGAGTAACCTCAGAGTTATCATAGTGACAGCTGAGATCCAAGTCCTTGTCCAAAGAGTACTGTACTACAAAGGCTTTGTGGCTGTCCAGGCAGCTTCCTCCCCAATCTGGATAAAGAAGAGAGACCAAAGGCCGTAGGTATTTCTCACGTAAGGGTGTAATGAATGAGTCATCTAACCCAAGTTCATTCAGAAGGACCTATGGGCAGAAAAAAACAATGGAAATGTACTGTACACCCAGTTTCAGACTGTTACTTAAAGCAGACCTTTACCTATGAAAAGAGGTTTCTCATGCCGCAGCTCTCTGTCAGGTCCCACATACCTGAAGCTAGTGGCATGATTCAAGATGGCGGCACAGGAGCAGAGCGGCTGCAAGGAAGACATTATTTTTTTTGTTTTTACTATACAGGGACAATTATTACAAGATTGCCCTAGGGAGGGCAAAGTTGAAAGTGGTACAACTGGTGATTAGACTGACACATGAATGTCACCAGCTTTAAAGTATATATAAAGCCAAAACTTATTTTTCAGAAGTGCTAAAACCGTAGTCAGGTTATTAATTGCTAAGCTAACAACAGTTAGCACACCTACAGTTACAGGTCTTGTAATTTACTAAGATCTAAGTTACAATAACAACATTTTGCAGAAACAAAAGAAAAAAGCAAAAATAAAATGGTGTATTTTTGTTTTTTCTTCTTTCTGCACAATGTTTTTATTGCAACTTAGACATTATTAAATTACAAGGTCTGTAACTTTAGGTGTGCTGGCCATTTGTTCCCTTGGATTTTAACACCACAGGCCATGCACTCTCCCATTGGTGTTAAAGGTGTGGGGTGGATTTGTATCAAGGTTTTTATTTGCTGCCTTAGAGAGGAATACAGGAAGCAATTTTCCTTCATTTTCTTGTCCCACGGACATAGCAGGAAGTTTAAGGAAATCTCAAAAATGAAGGAATTCAAATGCAGAATTTCTCTCTTAGGCTACATTCACACCCTGTGGCAAGAACCTACAGATTCATTCAGCAGGAATCCCAGGTGTGTCCATACACATGCAGCTGCTGTTCAAGTGAAAGACAGGCTGACGCTGACAGGAGCCGCATCTGACAGTGGCTGTCCGCATGTAATCGTACATGGATCAATAACCTGCGGTGGATGTAATATGTCTACATCCAGGGACAATCATCTATCCTGAACTTCAGGTAATCAGATGCGGTTTCTGTCAGAATGTCATTTACTTGAACGGGCACAGTGGCCGCATTGGAAGATTTCCCCATACCTCTTGTTCTGGGGACAACTCTAAAATTTAGCATTTCCCCTCACTTTCTATATCGGTGACAGTGGTCATCAGGGCCAATAAAGTGGCGGCTCTCCCCAATGGGGACACAGAATGTAATTTATGGGAGTAGAGGGTCTAAGTCTTCCCAGCTCCATTCCAATCTTAAAAAAAAAACAACAACATTTGCTTAGAGGTACACTTTAATGCATCTGTTGCACTGATCCTAGATTTTGACATTTGAAATCCTGGCCTTCTATGTTCTAACAGCTCCCTCTTCCTGTGTCAAGTGTCCGAAAAACTAATACAAGAAGAATGTAAAAAAAACAAAGTTCCTTAGGCTGAATGAGTAAAGACTCGGCATATAGTGTTAATTAGTATACATGACCGAATGCCAACTTTAGCACTTAGTCATCACCATATGTATATTCATATAAAAGCTTGAATCCTTGCCAACTGCTGTAACTAAAGTGTTTTTTTTAACAGAACTAGGCTATACTTGTACACGTTTCCTTTTTTATTGACATTACTTTTTATGGTTTTTATATATGGTTATATTTATAAAAGTTAGTTGTAAAGCACATATAGTATTTTTAAGGTACCCCCCTATATGAAAGGCATGACCCAACTCAATGGAGAGAGGTGGCAGGTGTTTGACAAGGCAGCACTCGTTCAACAGACTCCATACAATCTATATAATTCAGAGGCTAGGGTCAGGTTCTAGCAATTATACTCCAATGACAACATTTCCATCGTGTGCTAGAGTACCACTGCCAAGTACTATCATATCTATAACTGGTAAAATCAATTATGAAATAGAAAAATTGAAGTACCCCATAATTATTCATAGTGTTTGGGCGTCCTTTCGCCAGTGCCGATCTTTCAAAATGTTCGAGCTCTTCTACAAAGTCTTTACAAAACTGTGGAACAAATACGGGAAGTTGATATATCCTTTTATCTATGAAAAAACACAATGGATGAATGTGGCAGCAGGCATGTTTGTAATTACAAAGTTTAAAGTGGAACTCAGTTTTCAAGACTTAGCAAATGTAAAGCTTTCCATACACATCACAGTCTAACTGTGCACTCTTTGTATAATCTCCTTGAGATTTACCAAAACACGATAATAAGAGGACCTACCTGAACTATACAATCAGTTTTGTATCCAATCAGGCAAGCGCTTGCACTACATAGTGGTTGGTAGATTTAAAGGAGATTGTAATGTGTGTGGTGAACTTTACTGCAGATCTTCTCTTACTTCTGCAGATACAGAGGTCATTCCAGTGCAGATAAATCTTTTAAAAATAGTATGGGAGATTCTACCGTTACTATAATGACCAATCCCAGTGTGGTGATACAATACAATGTGCTATGGCATCCCTTTAGACATGACAGTGTCTAGATCAAGGGTGAATTCAAAAGATGTCACCAGCACACCATGCTAGTTGTGTTTAGCAAACGTCCATTTTAATGACAAAAATTGCTATTCAGTTGGAAGTACTTTCGGGGGCCTCACAGGGTCCCCTTCATCAGGCTGATTATAGCAGATCAGTTTACAGCGAAGGACAAGAAATGCAGTTAATCGGCAAGGACAAGAAATGCGTCCTGCATTTTCACTTCATTGCTCAGCATTGTGCCTTACCTAGCAAACTTCCACGGATGCAACATGTTCTACCTGCTTTATCCCAACTACATGCAATCAGTGAAAAGAGATTCAGTTTGGTCATGCAGAATTAGATTAACGATACCTGGAATAGAATCAAGGAGGTTTAACAGACCATCCAGACTAGCATGGGGAGACTGGCAAAAATGGACAGCTTCCAAAAACTCTGCAGCCAGAAAAGACTCCTTAAAAGAAAAACAAATGAGAGATACTTAGCCACATTTACACCTTTGCATTTGCTTTTAACAATTGTATTAATCGTTTTACTATTGGGTCTATTTATGACAACACTTGTCCTGTGCAAGTTAACCTGCTGTTGTGAAAATGAGGCAAAATCCAATGTTCTTAATGTAATTTCTCTTCTGGTTGAATGTTCTTCAATAGGTTCATTCATATAGAATATAGTAAATGGGGGGGAAAATCTGCTTTTTGGCCACTAGATGGAGCTAAGGATCATAGGAGCTATATATACATCTTAGTAATAAGAGATACAATGTAACAATTCTAGAGACTGCTGGAGAGAATTGGCATATAAATGTAACCATTGCTATAATGGCAATAGTAGTGGTTACATGTATACATTCATTCTCTCCAGCATTCTCTTGAATTGTGACATTGTATCTCATTACTAACATGTATTTTTTAAATATAATCCTCGGCTCCATCTAGTGACCAAAATGCGGTATTTTCCTGATTAACTTTGTTCTTTATGAATGAAAGAAGAACACTGATGTGCATTCGACCAGAAGAAAAAAATACCCCAAGAACATTTGGTTCTGCCCCATTCTCACAATAGCTGATTTATTCGCACAGAACATGCAAATGCAGTTTCGCTGAACGCATAGCTTTGCAAAAAATATTTTATCAATGGAACCTTATGTCATTTATTGGAGGCAAAGATATGTCTCCTCTCTCCCCCCGTCCATCATAATCACCATTTCCTAACTCTAAATGTATCCATTCCTGTCAGTACACTAGGTTTAGAGTTACCTGTAAGACATACAACTCCGGATGCAATGGTTTATAATGGAGTGCAATTTCTGATTTCCGTTGCTGGGACTCCTCAGCTAATTGAATTCTTCTTTCCACTTCTTTCTTTACCTGGGAAAGTATTAACTCTATAAAATGAATACAATCAAAGTGATCTGTCAAAAAAGCAAAATACTCGCCTGAGAAGCCTCAAATAGAGCTTACTTTTCTTTGACTCCGAGGCTTCAGGCCTTGTTCACACCAAGCGCATTTGCAGGAGCAGAGCAGTTACAGACCGGAGCAAAACTGCGTCCAATGTATTCCAATGGTATTTTTAGCTCCAGTTCACATCGCAGCGTTCAGTTCCAGAGCGGGTAAAAAAAAACTGCAGCAGGCCCTATTTTACCTGCTCTGGAACGCATGTAAACGCATCAAAAATGCCTGGAACGCACTGAAAGCCCATTTTAAACAAAAAAAAAAATGTTTTTAGTTTTTTACCCAAAACAGCCCGGAACGCATAAAAAAAGCGGCAAAAACGCAGCACAACCCACTGCACTGCGTGTGCAGAAACTCATGCAGATCTGCTCTGCATTTGGTGTGAACAAGGCCTCATAGTAGTTCCTGAGCAGTAAAACTGAACCTATTCTATGACTGATCGTTCTCCACCAGAAATGGTAACATACAGCAACTTGTAGCTAAGCCTTTAAAACAAGTATCCTCTATAATGGCAGATTGTCATTAACACAATGGACAAGTGGGAAAACATTCACACAATAGTTAATAGATAAGAAAAAACAGAGGTTATGTAAATGAAGTGTATAGTATATACTTAGCTGTGCTTCTGTACCTTACGGGTTAATGTCTCTGGCTAATCACATGACATAACCCAAGACCAAATGAAAGGTTTAAAACAGCTGATGTGCCAATTAGAGAAAAAGTAAACACTATATGAAATCAGATATTTGCCACATGTTTGTAATATAAAATGCAGACATGCCATCAATATAAATAACAGCCTTTTTTCTTCTTTTTTGTCACATTCCTGGCAAAAAGACAATGGAAATTCCTGTGGTAATACACTTCATAGCTTTGCAGTTTTATTGACTCTTAAAAATTCTCCCAGTCTTAGAACCCATCATGCATGCTACTTTTGCCTAGCTTGGAGCTCCACCTGATGGTACGATTTAGTATTGCACCTCCTCCAGGCAAATATAACAACGATGCCTAAACAGACGGTATCTAGGAAGATTTATCCCTTCAAGTAATGGTGACAGAGGGTCACGTTCTTTCTCATAAAGTGGATGGGGACGGGAAATTCCTTCCTTGCACAAAGGTCTAAAGCAGTGGTTCACAACCTGTGGGTCGCTGTGTGATTTCTGCTGTGTTAGGTGAGAGTCCTCCTCAGCTCTCTCCTAGTGCAGCAGTGTCAGTTCTCCCACCACGCCGCCAGATGTCGCTGCAGCAGCAGCGTCATCCCTAAATTTTACCGTTGGGGGGTCACCACAACTTGCCAAATGTTACTAAGGGGTCCCGGCCCTAGAAAGGTTGAGAACCACTGGTCTAAAGCTTTTGGCTTTAGGGGATGATTCCTCACCAATGGAGCAGAATTTGGTGGTAATGGCAGCAGGAGAAGTAAGTATTTATATTCTTCTTTTCAGGTAACATTTATTTTGTGTCTTCTATTGGTAACTTAAAGTGACACTAAACTCAGGAGTAAAATCTTAAAAATACATTCAAGTACCCTAACTATTAACAAAAATGTAGGGCTGCAACACCTAATCGACATAATCGATTAATCGGCTTCTGATTGGTTTGCCCTGTTCATGGCTCCACACACGCTGTGCGCCACACCTCCTCCCCACCTCACGCTCGCCGCTGCCAGATCTGCCCGCATCCACGTTCCACACCTCCTCCGCGCCTCACGCTCACCACCCGCCCAAATCCACGAAAAAAAATAATCGTTAGCTGCAGCTCTACAAAAATGTATCCTATTTTGTATATCACTCAGCTGTAGATCCTCAAATCATCTCTGAATTGGTGCTGACACTGTTCTTCCTTCTGGAGGGTGACTACTTTTGTTCCGCTTGATCTATGTGTATGTTGTAAAGTAGTCACCGCTCCAAGCTGACTCCTGTGATGGTCTACAATCTCATGTTTAGTTTACTAATTTGTATTGAGATTGTAGTCCATTACAGGAGCTTGGAGCGGTGACTACTTTACAACATACACATAGATCAAGCGGAACAAAAGTAGTCACCCTCCAGAAGGAAGAACAGTGTCAGCACCAATTCAGAGATGATTTGAGGATCTGCAGCTGAGTGATACACTTTTGTTAATAGTTAAGGTACTTAATTGTATTTTTAAGATTTAACTCCTGAGTTTAGTGTCAGCAGCCTTTTGTTCGCATCAGAACTGCTTTATTCCCAAGCCTACAGGAATGCAAAAGCAGCTTGAAGCAAGTCAAATGCAGGTCAGAAGTAGGTCAGCTGCAAGTCAAATGTACCTGCTAATAAATTGTGAATGATTTCAGAAGCATCTCATACTAAAGTCAGCCATAACCACTTTCATTGACACAGGCCCTTAGGCTGCTAATGAAATATAACTACCTTTGCTACTACTGCTACACTCATGACATCCTCACTGATGATGCAATTAAACACTGTACAAGTCTTTTGCCTTTCTTAAGTATATATTAAATCATTAAAAATGGTACACTATATTGCTAATAGTATTGGGACACCCCTCCATATCATTGGATTCAGGTGTTCCAATCACCTCCATGATCACAGATGTATAAAATCCAGCACCTAGGCATGCAGACGCTTCTACAAACATTTGTGAAAGAATGGGTCGTTGTCAGGAGCTCAGTGAATTCAAGCGTGGTACCGTGATAGGTTGTCACCTGAGCAATAAGTCCATCCGTGAAATTTCCTTGTTAATAAATATTCCACGGCAACTGGGAACAACAGCAGCTCAGCAACGAAGTGATAGGCCATGTAAGATGACAGAGCGGGGTCAGCGCATGCTGAAGCACACAGTACGCAGAAGTTGCCAACTGTCTGCAGAGTCAGTAGCTACAGACCTCCAAACTTCGTGTGGCCTTCAGATTGGTACAACAACAGTGCGTAGAGAGCTTCATGGAATGGGTTTCCATGGCCGAGCAGCTGCATCCAAGCCTTACATCACCAAGTGCAATGCAAAGCGTGGGATGTAGTGGTGTAAAGCACGCCGCCACTGGACTCTAGAGGAGTGGAGACGTGTTCTGTGGAGTGACGAATCACTCTTCTCTGTCTGGCAATCCCATGGACGTGTCTGGGTTTGGCGGTTGCCAGGAGAGCGGTACTTGCATGACTGCATTGTGCCAAGTGTAAAGTTTGGTGGAGGGGCGATTATGGTGTGGGGTTGTTTTTCAGGGATTGGGCTTGGCCCCTTAGTTCCAGTGAAGGGAACTCTTAAGGCATCAGCATACCAAGACATTTTGGACAATTTTATGCTCCCACCTTTGTGGGAACAGTTTGGGGATGGCCCCTTCCTGTTCCAACATGATTGCGCACCAGTGCACAAAGCAAGGTCCATAAAGACATGAATGAGTGAGTTTGTGGAGGAGGAACTTGACTGGCCTGTACAGAGTCCTGACCTCAACCTGATAGAACACCTTTGGGATGAATTAGAGCGCAGACTGCGAGCCAGGCCTTCTCGTCCAACATCAGTACCTGACCTCACAAATACGCTTCTGGAAGAATGGTCAAACATTCCCATAGACACACTCCTAAACCTTGTGGACGTCTTCCCAGAAGAGTTGAAGCTGTTATAGCGGCAAAGGGTGGGCTACATCAATATTGAACCCTACGGACTAAGACTGGGATGCCATTAAAGTACATGTGCGTGTAAAATCAGGCATCAATACTTTTGGCAATATAGTGTATATTGTATATTAACCTAAACTGAAATTATAATGTACGTACCTTTGATAGCGTTATGGCCTATTCACACCAGAAGTGATTCCATGCAGTTTGCTGTGTCCTAAACTGTATAGGCTATTAAAAATCCAATTATGTCAGTGGGCACTGTTGTTACTAGAGTTCCAGTTTAGGCTAGTGCTGACCTATGGATTACCATTTCGATCAAATAAATGGAGAAATCTTATTACAAAATATCTGAAAACACACGGCAATGAAAGCTGTATGTGATACAATGTGTTTTAATCACATCTGTAGTATGGAAATGTAAAGCCCCACAAACATATCTTGTTTCCCCATACCGTTTCCAGGACTTGTGCAAGCTTCTCAGCAGTACGACATCCTCTGCTCTGCAATGCCTGTATGACACAATAAACATACATGGTGAAGTAATAGAAATGGCCAGCCTGATTTTCCATCAAAAAAAATCACTAAATCTTTCTTTATACAGTGCATATTTCCGAAAAACAATATGTGACATAATAATGATATAAAACTATATATTGTAATTTACTCTACAAAGCAGACCATTAAATGCCATGTGCTGAGCATTCACTATTCTCAAAGTTCACTGTCAATGGAGGGTGAAGAGAGGAAACCACCTTATACACAGCCCAACACATCCCAATAAACAGAACCCAGCCAATCGCTAAGTTCTCCCAATGTCATCAATGTTGTAGGGGAAAACCCCATTGAGCACCAATAGTTATGGGGCACTCATCACCAACACTTAAGGGGCACACACCATTGACTACCACCATAAGGGGTCACCAATTCCTGACCACTGAAATCTGCAAGCTATTCTGTGCATGACATAGTCCTGAACCCTGTATTCTCAGTTTCACTATTTATACTTTGTCCTAAACAACACAATTTTGGGGGCATTTCAGAAGAAACACAACATATCTGGTTTGCTTCAAAATTTGTGGTATTGTTTTCCTTTATGGAGTAAAACATTTAAAACACAGCGGTTATCAAATACACCAGAAGAAAGTTCTGTCTGACTCATCTGGGTAATTGAATAATTGTCAAAGTGTCTCAGCACTGAAAACTGGACACTGGCCTGATAATGAAGGGAAATGAGAGTCTGGTACTCAGGTTGTTAAAGTAAACCTTTCTTAAGACAAATATGAGGGTGCAATTGTTTGGCCTCCTTCCATGCAGTGGCGTCACTACAAGGGGCAATTGCCCCCCTAGGGTATTGCATGCCCCCCCCGTGTGCCCCCCCTCTGGCGCATCCGAGTGACATTATGGGACCTGTGCACCCGCTGCTCGTGCGTTGCGGCTGGCCCGGTCAGAGCGGCGGAGGGAGAGAATATTTTTTCAGGGGGGGCAGAAGTTGCCCAGTTCCCCCTCCTCCGAGAAAATAGTCTCTCCCTTTGCCTCTCTGATTGGACTGGCCGGCCGCACCGAACAAGCAGCAGGTGCACAGGTCCCAATCAGGTCCCTTGACGTCACTCGGATCCGCCCAGTAGCCGGCTCCACGGCATTCAAAGTAAGTGATGCCGAGGGACACCGCTCTCCATCCTGAAAAAAAAAGTTCTACTTATCTCATGCTCTCCATCCTGAGTTCCAGGTTGACAGTCTGGAATGTTCCTTACTCCTGCCCTTTGGAGCTCAGAAAAAATTAAAATTACAAAAAAAATTTAAAAATGAAGTCACATATCAAAGCAATAAAAAAAATAAAATAAAAAATAAAAGTCCCCCGCCCCCACATGCACACTCAAACATGCGTCGAGTCCGCCTACGTGCGAAAACGACGATTACATCCATTGCGCCGCACATGTTACATATTGCCGCGAACGTCGCAGTCAGAGCAATAATTCTAGGGCCATCAATCACTGATAACACTAAACTGATGAGCGGCAAAAGCTTTTAAAGAGTCGGCTATGGTAGTGGTATGGTTTGAGTATGGTAGTTTTTTGCGATGTAGCGGGTGCGCGCAATTTTAAAGCTTGACATGTTTGGTGTCTATTTACCCGACGTGACCCCGTCTTTTATATTTTACCAAAAAATTGGGTAATAATAAATGTTTTATATCATAACGTAGGGAGAACAGGTTTTTTTTCAAAATTTTCGGTACTTTTTTCATTATATAGTAAAAAAAAAACGTAGTGGTGATTAAATACCACCAAAAGAAAGCTCTATCTGTCCCCAAAAAATTGTATACAATTCATTTCAGTACAGCGTTGCATGACGGAATAAACGTCAGTCAAAGAACCGCAGCAAGGCTAAAATTGTTAAAAAAACACTTGCCCGGCGCCCAGGACTACATGTCCCGGGCGTCGGGCGATACGAATTCCACACCCCTGATACAGCGGCACAATGCAGCATACCAGACCAGATAGATATATATATCTATCTGGTCTGGTATGCTGCATAATACATTGGTGTTCTGCATTGTATTGTGCATGGTACTCTGCATTGTATAATACAGCGGCACAATGCAGCATACCAGACCAGATCGATATACAGCACCCCCCTCACCGCCATTCTGGCCTAAGCAAGAATGATGCGTCCTGCTCCTGCAGCCTCCTGGTATATGCCTGGAAGCTGCAGGAGCATGGCACAGTGCGGCCGGAGGGAAGGGGCCTGGCTGTGCGTCAGATATATATATCTATCTGGTCTGGTATGCTGCATTGTGCCTCTGTATTATACAATGCAGAGTACCATGTACAATACAATACAATTCAGAAAACCATAGTGAAATTAAAAGTGTAAAATTATACAGCAATGAATGCAGAATGGCATCGGCTATAGAGGACTACAAAACCCAGCAATAGTACATTATACAGCGCAATGCAGAATACCACCAGCTATAGAGGAACAACAAATCCCAGCAAAAATACATTATGCAGGCTGTTTAATGTATTACTGCTGGGATTTGTTGTTCCTCAGAATACCTCTCTGGTGGTATTCTGCAGTGTGCCGCTGTATAATGTATTATTGCTGGGCTTTGTTGTATTCCTCTATAACTGGTCAGTGGTATTCTGCATTGCGCCGTATAATTATACAGCGCAATGCAGAATACCAGCAGCTACACAGGACTACAAATCCCAGCAATAATAAATTATACAGCGCAATGGAGAATACCACCATCTATAGCGGAATACATCAGATCCCAGCAATAATACATTACATACAGCGCAATGCAGAATACCAGCAGCTACACAGGACTACAAATCCCAGCAATAGTACATTATGGTATAATGTACTATTGCTGCGATTTGCTGTATTCCTCTATAGCTGCTGGTATTCTGCATTGCGCCATATAATCATTATACAGAACACTGCAGAATACCCCCAGCTACAGAGGACTACAAATCCCAGCAATAGTACATTATAGTATAATGTACTATTGCTGCGATTTGCTGTATTCCTCTATAGCTGCTGGTATTCTGCATTGCATTGGTATTGCTGGTATTGCACACCACACTCTTTTTTTACTTCCACCGCTCCAAGCTTGCTCCTGTGATGGACTACAATCTCAATACAAACTAGTAGTCCATCACTGGAGCCCTTTTTTTTTTTATCCGATTAACCGACCTTAATAATCGGCTAACGAATCAATTGTGAAAATAATCGTTAGCTGGAGCCCTACCGGGCAGCGTGTAATGACGCGCTGCCCGGCTTCTTGATTGGTCGGGAAACTGGCCAATCAGGAAGCTGGGCGCCGTGTAATGACGCAGCACCCGGCTTTCTGATTGGTTGGGAAGCCGGCTTCATGCTCCCTCATCATGTCATAATATTTGTAAACTGTGACATATACATACTTATTTAGTTTTTTTCAGTGGTGAAAATTATTAGTGCCCCCCCACATGGCTGTGCGTCATCAGGGGCCAGCTGCAAAACCCAAAAGAGACAGCCATCCTGATGATGTCAGAGGAGAAGATGGCAGTATGGGTCTGGATTGGTGGATCACAGCAGGACAACACTGGATTCGCTGGGCAGGTGAGTATGTTTTTTGGTGAGAGCCCAGCATAACGTAACAGGTAAGAGGGTTAAAGGGGGCTTCCCCTTTAACATTCTCTCCCCATAGGCATTTTTCATTGTGGTCACAAAGGGGTTGAAGCACCGGCAGGCAATAGGATAAGAATACCTTCTGATATTCCTGAGTGAACTGCTGCTCATCTGTGTACCTGACATGCATTTGGTACTCCTCTATATAAATATTGTCAGTGTAGAAGCAGGCACAGGAATAGGAGCCTCTGCTGTGTGCCATGGCATTGATCTGCTGCAGAACTGTCACTGGAAGGACCCCGCACGACTTTGCATCACAGCTGTGTACTGCCGCGCGCCCACTGCTTCCAGCCACGTGATACTGCTAGGGATCCGCTGTAAATACACGAGCTGTACTTCAGCGGCAGTGTACTGGACTGTACTCTACGCTGTATCGAAGCTGTGAAATGTGCTACGGACCCTTAGCTTGTGTTACAGTTAATGAAGTCCCCGGGAAACAGTTCCCACTGTATGTATTAGTGCAGGCTGTGCCTGGACGAGGAGTCTTTGAGTGCTTACATTTTAGATCCTTCCTGAGCCTGGCCGCATGAAGGTGCAGGGTGAGCTATAGCCGCCAGCTGTGCATCGCCAAGTTCTCATGTCACAGAAGGATCATGGAGACTCTACAGGTAGCAGAGGAAGTGGTTGAGTCCAGTCCCAATAAGCTGGAAGATGTTTACAGACTGCTAGCTGATGGATCTTTTCCACCCTCCTTCTGCTCCATCAAGAAAAAAAACTTAAAAAGATATGCCCGCAAGTTTATCCTAGAAGGTGAGGTGGAACGGATGGCAATGCTACATTGATCACTTTTATGTGCCCATACACCTTGCGATTATTGTTGGGATATCCAACCAGATCAGGAATTTGTACGTTAATCGGCTAGTTGATGGGAAGTGAACGATCAGAATTACTGTACAACTGGCTGAATTTCCTTGATCGGTCCGGCTGGAAAACCTTTTTAGAATTGTACGAAAATTGATGGATTAGTGGTTACCGTACGGAAAAACATCACAACATTAACACTGCACATGTGCAAACGAAAATCTGTTCTGTCTATCGACGAAATTCGGCCAGTTAGTGTTGCTAGCGAGCAATAATTGAAATCGTGCGTGATGGGGTATTCCAGCGGAAATCAAACACTGGTTCGATGTGGGCACAAAAGGAATCGAACAATAATCGCAAGGTGTATGGGCAGCTTAAGAGTAGTCACAGCGACGCTACATAAAGTAAAATCTCATAGAGGCCTTAATATGTCCTTAGCCAAGTTATTTTCAATCTTTTTAAAGCAAGGGGTGGGTAAACTAGAAAAAATGGGTAGGTAAACTAGCCTTCCAGCTGTTGTGGAACTACAGATACCATGAGGCATTGCAAAATTCTCAGCCACAGGCATGACTACCATGACATGACAGGTGCATCATGGGATTTGTAGTTTCACCACAGCTGGAGGGCTGAAGTTTGCCCACCCCTGTTTTAAAGCCTACCTCCAGGGAAATTGTTTTCCCTTGCAGTGGGGCTGTCCCTGCACTGCAAGGGTTAACTGCTTGTTTATGCCTTGGGGACAGGAAAATTCTCTTTTAGTTACCTGATCCCCACTCGCCTGGTGCGCTCCTCTCCTACCTCACCTCTCCGGATGTGGAATATCCCTTGGCAGCCTCACGTACAATACAGGGCTATGGAGCCTATATTGTACTTGAGTACATCATCGGTCCTTACAGCCGGAGCAAAGGGGAAATAAGCCTGCTGGGATTGGTCTAGCAACCCAGAGGAAGTCAGTGGGAGTGGGGACCAGGTGAGTAAAAGAGCTTTTTCCTGTCCCATAGACATGAACGAGCAGTTAACCTTTTCATCACCCTGGAGTTGGCCAATAAATCTGTGGCTTTAAAAAAAAAAAATTGGGTCATGAGGTCAGTGTTCTGGCACTTCCTGTTATAGGATGACAACTATGCTGCTGTGTTGTTACCTTGTTGCATGCACCCTTGGTGTACACTACATGTGGCTGTGCCATCACCTTTGTCACTGACACATCCCCTCCCAGCCTAATCAGTTGCGGCCAGGGCCTTCCCAGCCCCTTTGTGACTAAGGCTGGGCACACACCTTACACACAACTGTAAGGTACTTTTAAAAAAACGTACAGTCTGCCTATCTTGCATAGGCAGATCGTACTTGCGATGATTGCAAGCCACGCCCCCTGAGGGGCGGGCTTCCGATGACCGCAATGCCGAACGGGCAGTGTGAGCTTGCGCACACCGGCCCGTCCGGCTTTTATCTTACGAACATGCTACACACCCGCCGAACATCGTATGCTCGGCGGGTTTTCAAACATGTTCGTAAGTTTAATCATATGATCGCGGGATTATCGTAAGGTGTGTGGGGACCTTTAGCCTCAACTTATTGGGCTGTTAGTCACAATATAAGGAAAACATTACAATCACAATACAATTCAAGACAATATGGTAAGGAGGGCCCTGCCCGTGAGGCCTTACAATCTAAAAGGGAGTCATAATGTAAAGCAGGAGTAAGGGTGTGTAGACAGGAAGTGGCGGAAAGAAGCTGAAGGAGATAAGCTGAGAGGCAACAAAGTATATTCAAAAAAAAAAGTAAAACGGTAAATGAAACAGACATGGCAACCTTTTATGTTCATGAAATGTTCACTTTACCTCCAACCAGAAGGTTTTTGTTGTACATTTTGAAGATTTACAACCTCTGCCAGCTTGCTTTTAATGCTCTCTGTGTTCCCAATTACGATAAGCAGATGTATTCAAGGGTGTGGAATTTTTATCGCCCGGGACAGGCAGTTTCGGGCGTCGGGCGAGTAGTTTTTTTCTACATTTAGCCCGGCTAAATGTAGTGTGGGAGCCGTTTTGTACAAGTGATTTTAAATGGCTTTACAGCCGTCCAAAATCACTTGTAACCTGCCTGAATCACGCTCCCCTCTCTCTATCTCCAGCGGCTGGTGTGTACCGCCCCCTGCTGCCTTTCTCTCTGCACGTGAGCTTCCTTTTTGCCGTGGTCTTCTGGGTCCCCCCCCTCTTGTGGGGGATCCGTGACTACGGCAAATTACGTTAGCGAGCAGAGCAGAGAACACTTCTCTGCTCTGCGTGAATAGTGACACAGGAATGCAACCTTCCTGTCACAGGAGAACGAGCACAGTGCTGTGCTAGAAGTCCTGTGTTGGAGGTGACAAGGTCCATAAAGAGAACCTGTCACCTCCAAAAGCGATCACACAAAGGGCTTGTTATCCCTTGTGTGATAGCAATAAAGTCAAGTATATAACAATTAAAAATGGAAATACATAAAAATGGAAAAAATAAAAAGGCGATAAAGTAGAAAATAATAAAAAATATTACAAATTTAAAAAAAAATTAAAATCTAAAAAATTAAAACCAACCCCTATCATCTGCATGCGAATAAACGCATGCATGGGGCATAGTGTGTGTGTGAGCGGAGTGGGATGATGCGTGTTGCCAAAAAAGGTGCATGTACCTTTTTTCAGCGATTACCACGCGGATGTAACCCCATTGAGATCAATGGGGCCGAGGGATGGCAACCGCACACAGTCGCCCAAGTCTGCACCCACCCCAAAGGGTAAATTCACTTTCACAAGTAATTTTGGAAAATGGAATTACCTGCACAAATCTGGTCCCCTCCTCCTCCTGCTATACTTACCTTTCAGCGAACGGTCCTTCCCATCCGCCAGTATGGGTGTACTATCTGTACCTGTGCCATGTATTCTGAATTTCGCTCACAAAATGCAAGCACTCGTTGGTCAGCGCAGTCACCTGACGGCACTGACCAATGAGAAGCTCTTCTTGGCACTGCTAAATACGGTTTTGGTTAAAAATTTTTCTTTTTTTGTATCAGGACAAGTAGATTTCCATGAGGGACAAGTAGATCGGGCCCCCACTTTAGTCCTCGGACAAGTAGTTTTTTATTTTCACACCCCTGGTATTAAACAAAAACCTCTGTTTTTACCCTGAAATGTTGACACCGTTTCATTAGACATTTTGTGCTGACTGGTGGGTAATTGTGCTGGGGAATTTGTACAGTAAGCATGTACTATTGATTTATATATGGGGAAGAAAAGTCACATTTGTTTAGTTGTAGCAACATAGAATTGTGTGGAGAGAATGAGCTAGCAGTCAAACATTGGCCCTAAGCGGAAAATTGAGTAGTTGAGCAGACTGGATACTTTTTTGCATTCTAGAATCTTGCTGCACTCCTTACCGGGTATCCCTGTCAGCGTGGGTGCTCGAAGTGATTGCAGATGGCGCTGCCAATACTGAAACTTGTTAAATGTCACCAGCACACCATATTGACGCTTCATGTCAATAAACAGATGTGTTCGTCACTTCAATATGGTGTGTTGGATACTTTTTTCACAATAGTGTTTATTGGGTTTTTTAAAAGTATAAGAAACATAATACAGAGGTATGGAGAACAATAATGACAGTGCAAAACCTAAGCAAAGAACTCCAGGCACAAACACTTTCATATAAACATTTTCCTCAATAGCCTCAAAAGATAGACATCCACTTTGTGTGCACCAAATACATGTGCATACCCAGGTATGACCTTGTAAAAGTAGCAGTGGCATCATCACTGTGCTATACATAGCCTATGCATAGAGCAAAGCTGTGGGAGGGACCCAGCAGGCCCCCTCCTAATAGAGGCTGCCTAAAGAAAACTACAAGAGGGGGCGGAGGCAAGACCAGTCACCCTGTACAAGGAGAGAGAACAGCAGTGACCAGTCTATTAGAGGAAGCTCTTGCACAGTGGCAAAGTTTAACCCTGCATCAATGCACAGACCTGGAAGAAATACACTGTGCACACCAAGATTCAAGTAAGAAAACGCATGCCTCTCATATTTAGAAAATATGTGTTTACCCTGAAATTCAGGTTTAAACAGTTGTGTGTCTGGGTAATCTCATCTCTTGTGTTTCCGGGATCCCATCTCTTAAAAACTATTGGCCTACTGGTAGTGACTGCTGAGTTATCAGCCCGCGTTTGATAGGGGACTCCATTACCTTCACCATTCCATTAGTGTCTATTTTATAAGGTGGAGAAATAGAGAACAAGGTAACAAAGACTATTGATAAAATGGCACTTTCGGCTAAATGCCGAAAGTGCCATTCTCCTGCCGATACTGCGGCGCATCCCTGCTTTCTTTCCTCCCCGCTCTGTATCCCAGCTGGGAGGAGAGAAAGTGTCACAGACGGCAGAGCAGTACGGGGGGAGAGTGCTGTGAGCGTCCGGCGTCTCTCCTCCCACACCACTCAG